TCTATGTATATATATTTCTATATATATCAAATAAAAATATACACATATATACATGTATTTATACAAATATATATGCATATACATACATACAAATATATTTATATATATACATATACAAATATATATAAATACATATAACGTATATATTGTGTGTATATATATATACGTACATACATACAAAACAATATATATATATATATCCACATACAAATTTATAAACATAAATCCTCCTATATAAATATATACAAAATAAAAAAAATATACAAATATATATATATAGGAATATATATGTTTATATTTGTATTTGTACATAGATATAAATATATATATGTATATATGTGTATTTTTTTTACTTTTTACTTTTATTTTTATTTTATTTTTTTGCATTTTTTTAGATTTTTTGTTTTTAGTTTTTAAAATTTTGTTTTTTATTTTTTTACAATTTTTTGGATTTTTTGTTTTTATTTTAAAAAAAAATATGACGTGGCATGCTGATATGACAAAATTTTTCATGTGGTGTGCCATGTCAGATGCCACGTGGCATGCCACGTCATCGGTTAACGGACATTTAACACCGTTTTCGGATTGTGTAGGAAATTGCAGTTAAATTGGGTAGTTCGTGTATCAATTTGGCATATTAGATAATTTGATGTAGTTTTTTGTCAAATTAAAAATTCGTGTAGAAAAAGATCACATTTAACCGAGTCGGTGTAGGAAAATGTCATTTTCCCTTATTATTATCATCATTATTATTATTATCATCATCATCATCATCATCATCATCTTCTTCTTCTTCTTCTTCTTTCGGTGTCCAAACCTTTCTCTGATTGCCTCAATATGCATAAATAAGGATGGACGTTTCGAGTTTGACTTAAAAGGTTTGGTTCGCTATTTTCGAATTCTATTATTTCTATTGAAAAAAATTATAATCATTTTATTTTTATGTTCGATTTGTTTAAGATTCGGTTTAGTCCATATTGATAAAACCATTCACTTTTCAAAGAAATTTTTCGTTTTTTAGATTTTTTTTTTTAAATTTCGGTTTCAAATTTTTCGATTGGCATATGTTTATATGTTATTTGGTAGGAATCCATTTACTTATTCGGTTATTATGATAGCGATTTGATTGTTGTCTTGGATGGAACACTAATCGAGGGGTTAATTAAGATAGAGATTTAAAAAAAAAATAGAAAAAAAATCCAAATAAATTATCATAATTAATCAAGTCTCCCCGCGTTATTTTTATAAAAAAAATTCCATCTTCTTTTACTTTTATGGTATTTTCCCTAAACAATTCATTTAAAAAAAAATTTAGCTCAATAAGAATATCAGGTTTTTATATCGAGAAAATCGTAAATATAAAACATTTTCATGGCCTGAAAGAGAGCGAAGCCCAAGTGACAAGTTGGGTGGACCAGAAGCTACAAAGCTTAGACTTAGACGCAGCATTCACCTTTTTAGGTTTTACAACACACACACACACATATATATATATATATATATATATAATGATTATTTACTTAAACGAACCAAAAATAAAATGAAAATGATAAATAAAAGCATTTCACAACGAAAGCCTCCACTTGCCATCATATATTTGCCTTTCTTAATTTTGTAAATATTACAGTGGATAAATATATACCAAACCTACCTTTTATTCTGTTTATTATAAATATTATATATATATATATATAATTATGTTCCTCAAAATATATGTGTCCGTCTCGAAATGCTATACACGCGATTTTAAAAATAAATCTTTGATAATAAAAAAAGTAATGCGGATCTTTCAGTTGAAGATCGGTAATGTTTAAAATCGTATTCGAAATTCTTATTTAAATAAAAAAATCATAGTTTGTACGATTAGAAAGCGTATTATCAAAACTTTTCTTCATGATATATATAAATTGACTCAAATTTGGCTAGTTGAACCGGTAAAAAGATTAGTTTGTATTTTGGTATAGAATAACCGTTATAAACAAACATTTTTTAATTGAATTTATTATGAGAAGATTATAGTTTAAGAATATACTATATATATAATATTTAAGAGGATATCTAACCTTTGAACTTACTAATCTTCTAAGCATTAAGAAATATCCATGTCAATACCTACTTGACCCAACAAAACACAAAATATAACAGTTTTAGTGGCACTTTTTTGAAATTATAATATATATATTTTTTTTATAATCAAAATTATAATTTATTGTTTTGTATGATTAGACCCACTTATGTGTACGTACTGTTTTCTATGTTAGTTTATAAATGTTTAATATTGAATTAGGAGTCGATTAAGACATCCACCACTACCACTAATTAGAAAACCTTGAATTTACATACTTTTGGTTTTCACATGGTCGCACTCTATAGGGCTGTTAACAAAAGTATTCAAAATGCCACCTCTATAAAAAGCTTCCAAGTATTTCTAAATGGTGATAGATCTTAAAATTATTATTTTTTAATTTGCTCTTAAACTATCCGAACAATATTGATTATAAAATTTATCTTAACCTATATAATACAGTGATTTTTTTTTAAAGTACGGTTACAATTTTCTATCATTTTTTCTCTTTATTGTAATATTTTTTTTATAAGTTCATCGAAATGATTTTTCTACATGGCAAAAAAGGTCTTTCAAAAATAGACACGTGTTCTAATTCTCTAGTTGATTTTTATCCATCGAATAATTTAAATTAACATTAAAAAAATCTTAAAATTAAAACTATATGGACCACATTTATTGTGTTGTTTCTAGTAATAGATGGATCCTACTTTCGGATTTTGTCAGAGAAAAAGAAATCTCGATAAGAGAATTCATTTTCATAATTTTTTTATAAGTTATTTTAGTTATCAAGAATTTTAATTGATATAAATAATAAGATTTTAAAAGTTTTTTCAACTGCAAACTTTGACAATTTGAAATCCAAACCTTTTTTTCTTTATAAGAGAGAAAAAATAGGAAATGGATTTAAAAATTATTTTTGTAACGGTAGATTAGTCGTTTTGAGGACTTAGTCGTCTTTTATACTTCCCTTTCGAAATAAATAAAAAATTAAAAAAAAATACACAGATGTGTCTTGACATAAACTTCCTTTATAATAAAATTTTGGGGAAAAAAAAAAGCTGAAGATGCCAATTATGAAATCGAAGATGGAGGGATGAAGACAAGGACGACGATAATTCCCAAAATTAAAGTATATTATAAAAAAAAAAACTCAAGAAAATATAATACAAGAGACGAAATTATAACCCTAAAACATCGAAAACCCATTTTTTTTTTTTTTAAAATGTACAAACAAAATCTCTAAAGGTGTCCATGGATCTCTTCGTATTCAAAACAGGAACTTCGTTACTCATTGCAAAGCCAAACCTAGCAACAGCTCGCTCGTAACTTTTTTTCAAGACCAGACAAACAAAACTTAACAAGTTCCGGTTTAGTCCGGTTCGGTCCGGTATTCCCTAACTCAACATCCACCGTTAACCGGTCCGGTTGTGGCAGTGTGAGGGTGACAGTAGTTCATGGGCATTGTGGCATTTACACCGTCCAGCATGTTGCTCGTCGGTCCGATGCATTTCACCGTCTGCTCGAAGATATTCACCAGTTGCATGAATATCTCCATCCTCGTCACATCCCGGTTCGCCTTATTCCCGAAAAAAAAAACGAAAAATTGCATTTCATCAAGCCGAGGGCAAAATCAGAGTGAATTCTGCACGGTTTAGCTCTTGATATGCAAAGTTTCCAGGAAAAGAAGATTGTTCTTACATCGACTACAAAGCGTGCCCAGATCTTGTCCTTCCGAGTTTCCATGAAACCCTTCAAGATGGTTAACCCTAAGCTTCTGATCCAATCCGCTATTTCGAGGAAGAAACCTCGTTGTTCACACAACATCTGCAGATTTTCGGGTGAAGGAATATGCATCAAACAGTTACTTAATTGCTTGCGAGACAAGCGACGAGTTTACCTCGACTTTGAAACAGCGAGGCGTGCTAAGATCTTCGACGGTAATCGGGCAGACCAAGGGCTGTGACCCGACTTCGAATGCCCATGTTGCCCCTCCTTCCTCCATGATCTAAAAAAGAAAGAAAAGAATCCAAGATTTTGATTTCGTTTTTTGGGGACGACAACATTGGCTCTTTGATCAGGCAAATGCCTGAAAAGGCTGAGAAACAAGAATCGGTGAAGTCAAGACAAGAAAATTTCGAAGGTCTGTTCATCTCTGCACCTTCGACTCCCCGGATTGTTTCAATTTATCGGCGTGCTTCGCAACATTTTGCAAGAAAAGCATGTGCTTGATCGTACGTTCCAAAAGCGCATCTATGCTGCACTGTAAAGGTCGAAACAACAGGAGAATAAAGACTGTTTTTTTGTCAGTAAAAGTTCCGCGGACAGGAATGAGAAAAATATTACTTACTTTGGCCCCGTTGGGTATGATTTCACGCAACTCCTTGACACGGTCTTGAATCATCTGCCGATCCTTAGGTCTAGGTCTCGGGTTTTCTCCCGTTTTAACCCTTTTACGGCTCGCTGGTTTGACGGTTCCGTTCATACACGTCCTGGAACATCCTGTGGATACACTGCCCTCATGCTTCAGGCTGTGTGCTTGTCCTAACCACGAACTGATCTGAGACCCATAAATGAATGCTGTCTGAGAACAACCTCCGAGGTTATGACCCTTATCGAATTCAGTTAACAAACAAGTTGATGGCCCTTGTTTCTTTTCTGCCTTAGGGATCTCGAAAACCCCAGGTTGAAAGCAGTTGTTGGATGCAGTGTTAACAGAAGAGTTACTGACTTTGGTCAATGTGGTTCTGCACGATTCAGACGTATCGTCATCACCAATCTGCTTGGAAAACGAGCAAGTCCCCGAGATCACGGCGTCTAAGAGATGATCCGTTCTCGAAACCTCATGTCCTGAGTAAATCCCAGAACCCATTTCTTGAATGTTCATTACATCTGACATTTCCCGTGTAAGGAATTCTGTTTTCGTGTCTATCGGAAAGCTCCAACCATCTTCACATGCTTTGTTCGATCGATCCAAACCCAAAATATCAAACAAGTCACTTCCCGCCGAGAACTTGGAACAGATATCACTACATGTTTCAGTAACCGAGCATTCGTTTCCCGTGTCAGTGTCATTTTTGGGAAAGCCTGAGTATCGTTCAGAGTTGAAGGTAGAAGAAAACGTTTCGTTCAGCCACACATCAGGGTTTGCAGACACTACTTTAGCCGATTTCCGCCATTCTTCGGGTGCCCCTCCAAGATTACCCCAACCTTCGACCTGAATATCTCTTTGAAGATTTGGCTCAGTTACCAAATCCACAGGGTTGACGATCTTGTGAGCTTGCGAGTGTATTATCTGCGACACAGGCACTCCAATCACATCTGCTGATTCTCGTGCCCCGTAATTTTCAGACAGAAGATCTCCCGGAACACATTCAAGTTGCAGGATTAGACCCTTCACCTCGTTCACGAAGCCCGAATTCTCCATTATCTAAAACGGGAACCAAGTTTACAGATGAGAGCATAGCTAAACTCTGTAAAAATCACAGCTTGTTTTGCCAAGGGCCGAGCTACGGAAATAGATGTCAAGAACTTACAGGAAGAGAAGAACCGAACTGGACAACACCATGAGGAATGACGGGAACAACTGCAACCGTCTGGAGAAAATATTCGAGCAACCACAAACACTTTACGATGAGCTAAAAAATCAATTCAAGAAACACGAGACTTCAAAGGAAAAAGACAGAATATCCAACCTGAATGCCTGCAGAGAATTGGAGAAGCATCTCATTTATAACCTATGCTCCGCCAATGTTAGAACGATCATCATGTCGATTCAAACATACATGTAAACCAAATTTCGGGAATAGCTTAGCTTATAATATGCGTAGATATATGTATATATACCTCGGGAGGATGAATGTTCCGGTTGAAACTGTTTGCTAGAATCCATTGATGGTGTCCTGTAAACGCAGCTCGACCAACTAATCTGGAAAGAGGCAAAGATTGAATTCAGTTCCTTCATTATTGGCGGGCAATGATCAAGATTCATGAAAGATTCCACCAAATGCAAGAACCTGAAACTGAAAACAGATTCATACCCTTCACCTACGAGAATAATCCGATTATTCAGCATCATTTGGTCAGTCAACAGAGGAACTTTCTCGCAAAATAAGCTCGGTGTCACCTCGTAGTAACATTCTTCCCAAATCAGTAGGCTGCAGGGAAAGAAGGATAAAAAGAAAAACATCAAATCATCCGTAAAGTTTTAGTTATAAGAAAAGGGGAAAACACAGATTCAAGAAAAAGCAAGAACACCATCAAACAGATACAACAATTGATGAAATCTCGGAATTTTTTCAGATAAACGAATACAAGAAAGAACATATGAAACCAGAAAAGGAAACCACCGAGAACTTTTCCTTTTCACTGATTCTGTGTAAACCCATGTTGTGTGTATATGATAAAGTCTTGATTCTGAACTTTAGGACATGTGGGAACAAGAAGAAGAGGATGAGCAGAGGAAGACAAAACCAAAGGTCATGAACAAACCAAGACAGGATCTTTTGTCTAAACAACAGTCAAAAGAGAGGGTGTGATTTTGTGGAGAGACAAATACAAATCAAAAGATTCTTTGGGACAAACAAGATCAGACCAAACACATAACTCCAAGAAACCAGGAACATGAAAAGAAAATATAATCAGACACATTAGGCAAGTGAAATTCTTGTCGCCGTCTTCCAAAAACCGTATCTAATTCTAAATCTTTTATCACGTTTTGCAGAGTTTCAGAGCCCCACCAGATCTGATTTCCGTTCGGCAGACCAAAAGACAAATCAGCTGTGTGATTAAAGAGATTATGTTTAAAGTCTGAAACTTTTTTTCCCGATTATACAGAAACGTCCCTGGAACTGGGAAGAACCGAGTTGTAAAACCTTTATATCCTTGTCTTCCGTTTTCTCAGAAGCCAAACAGAAGAAGTGGCCAAGTAAGACCAGACCCAGTAGAAAGTTCGCATCTTTTTCGACTTTTTCCTCCATTTTCCCAGCAACCAAACAGAAAATGAAAGCAAGCAGAAGCTTACCTAGAATTTTGACAGCCGATCTTCCAGAAAACAGCATAAGACCACCGGTTGCTCACACACATCGTCCTCAACGCTTCTCTCAGCAAAACCCCCATGTCTTCCCTATCCCTCTGCCTCTCTCTCTCTCTCTCTCTCCTCCGACTCTGTTTCTCCGGTGACGCTCTAGAAGCCCAGAAGTTAGCTCGGACAAGGAAATAGTTTCAGCAGCAACAGCGAAAAATCAAACTGCCCAGAAAAAGGTGAAGGCAAATAAAATCTCAGAACGACTAACCAACAACTCATAAACGTAAAAATCAACAAGAAAAACAGCAAAAACTATTACATTCTTATTAAGGAACTTTTCATGGAATGAAAGGGATGAATAAACTAACTTCCACGGCAAGATCCTCGACCGGCCTGTTTTGTTCTCAGTCCGCCACTCCGTTTCCGCTCGGTATCCAAGTTTCCGGCGATCATGCTCCGGCATCCCATTTCTCGGTCAGCAGAAAACAGGAGTGAAAAAAATGAAACCCGAAAAAGAAAAAGAGGTGAGAAGAAGCAAAAAGAGTTTATTTTATTTCTTCTTCTACAATATGCTCCAAGCTTCGAGCTTGAGGATTCCGATGACTCCCGCCATTGTTACAGCTTCAGGAACTGGAAAATGATCAGAGTAAAATCCAAATGGACCTTCTTTCTTGCTGTTTTTCTGAGTACTAGTGCCTCTCTCTCTCTCTCTCTCTCTCTATTGTTCCGCTGAAAATTGGAAACCGGCCAAAAGTGGTCTTATTAAACAAGGAAGACGATGGATATGGAAAGGGCCACGATGTTCACAATAAATTACGGGATTTTGCCCAGTCGAAGTCGTTTGTCGGTTTCTGGGATTAGACGAATAATTTAATATTTGTTTTTGGCAAATTCTGAAATATACTTTTTAGGAAAAAACAAAAGTTTAAAAAAAAGGTACAGACACCAAAAGACGTACCAAATAATCTTTTAATTAATGGAAAACTATGTAACGTACTTAACTTTATATTCCGCTCATTAAAATAAGCTCCAAGGATATGACATTGAAACTTTTTATACGGTTTTATTTGTTGGTATTATCGATATCATTAAATTTAAAAAATACTAGTTAAATTTAATGTATGAATATAAAAGCTATGATGTGTAATACCTGTGGAAGAAGCAAAATACAGGAAAAGGTGTCTACGTACGTATAGATATTGTGAAAAAATTAAGATGTATAATGATTATTATTAAGGAACCATGTCATTATAATAAAATTAGTTATAAATATTTAAAAAGTTCAGGAGTATATATACATCTATAAATTTCTATAACTTTCATAAATTCTATAATTTATCATAGAAATCATCAAAAATATTTTTTCTAAAAAATTTATTTTCAATTTATAACAGATTAATTTTTATTAAATATAAATTTTAACACTTTTGATCAACTATATTTTTAAAAGTTTTTATATATATATATATATATCCGGTCAAAATTTATAGTATAGATAATAAATCAAACCTGTAATAAGATATTATAAATAACAAAATTTAATAGTCTTATCTATAATACAAAACAAAAAGTTAATTCAACGGTTGAGAAATAACATAGTCATTTCATGGTATTAATTTCGATTCAATTAATAAGGAGGAGAACACACAATTACTTATGTGATTAAAGACTAATTCTCAATTTAGGAAATTAAATGGGTCGCAAACACAATCAACCTTCTTGTTAGAGTGGGCGATCGGGTCGGATCGGGTTATTCGAATTCGGTTATCTCGGATTCGGGTTATTCAGATTTGGAATATTCATATCCAATCGGATATATAATCTTAATCGGTTCGGATTCGGATCGGGTTTTTTCGGGTTCGGTTCGGGTTTATCCAAACAAATATTAGAAAAAAAAAAGTCCATGAATGTTTTACAAAAATTAACAAAAACATCGTTCATAATGTCATTTGTACCGAAAACAACCTAATATTAATAGTCTCGGATCATGAAAAAAATCAAACTAATTGCGTGATCAAACTAATTACGTGATGTACATGTACCAAACCAGAGCAAGAGAATATGGAATGAAGGTATTTTGCAAATGATTTTTCTCTGTATTCCATTAATGTTACATGATTCTCTTTATACAGGTTGTATAGGATAAAACGTAAAATTTCTATCTGAAAAAGTAAACCAAACAACTAAACAAAGAATAAAATTCTCTGTTCTTGGGCAAAAAAAAAAGAGTTTGAACTGCCTAACATGCCACGCTTTGCAAAGATCCGATTCAGACGTAAAGATCCAAACTTCATGGGAAAGATGATGAGGAACGAACCTTCTCTGCCACAAGTGGCGAGAATCAAGAAGGGTCATCGTCGTCATCGAAGGCTTTACAGTGCAGATGCAGTCTATGAAGATTCTGGCAAGCCCAGATTGGTCAGAAGCTCTGGGATTAGAGCTTTGAGGATTGGAACAAACGCGAAATGTAATCTTTGGACCACTTACCTTGTCCTTCTACAAGAACCTGCCCACTTTATCAAGAAGAAATGTGAAAACTTGGATCGGTATATGTTGTGACCCCGTTAAGGAAATTTCTTGCCTTTGCTGGACTAGTGTCTCCAGGGCCTGCTTGTTGTTCCCGAATACAGAAACACCGCGAAACAAGCAACAGACGAAGCTTAGCAGAGAATTAACGCAGACGAGGCAGCCGACGACGCAGAAGGCAAAGAGAAGCAGAGACAAAATGAAGCAAATCAGTCACACAAATCAGAGACAAAATGGAGCTAAGAGAAGCAGAAGGTAAAGCTCACATGAACCAGAGAGAAAAAGAAGCTAAGAGAGATAGAAGAAGGCTGAAACCGAAGCTCACACGAATCCCAGAGAAAAAGAAGCGAAGAGCAGGAGAAGAAGGTGATGCTACAGCCTAGAACTGATCACGATGCAGAAAAAACCTATAGAAGAGGGAGAAAAAGAACGAACCTCAGACGAAGAAGCTACCGACGACGCAAACCGGAGGTGCAGAGAGAGAGGCAGTGTCGGCGGAGAAGATCAGGATCATAGAGAGACGGCTCAGCTTAGCAGAGAGTGACGGCTCAATCGACGCAAACCTCAGAAGCGGCGACGGAGGAGACGGTTCAGGCGACAAAGAAGAAGGCTCAGGCGACGGAGGACACAGATCGAGCTTGAGGAAGAGCTTCGACGGACATGAATCGAAAGTGCAGAGGGTTAAGATTATTAACCCTAACCCTAATTAATTAAACTAAAATTTTAAATTCGGTTTAATCGGATAACCGAAACCGATCGGTTATTTATCCGAACCGAACCGATCCGATCGGTTATAGGATTACGATAACCGATCGGTTATTTTTGCAAAATCCGATCCGAACCGAAACCCGATTAATCGGTTCGGTTTTACCCGAACCCGATTAACCCGATCCGATTGCCGAGTCCTACTTCTGGTTATAGAAAAAGTTAAATAGACTAAAAACTTTATAATCATATAACAAACATAATATATTATATATTGTAAATAAGTATCCTATACCCAAGATATTTTCCATGATATTCTATTTCTTTAATATTTCATAGATATCATTTTGATATTTATATCTATTCTGTTTTTTTTCTTTTTTGAGCTAAATACATATAAATATTGTATGAATTTCATATGAATAGGTGTCGAGTTCGTAAATTTATCAGAAAATTTAAAAGTTTATGTATTAATCTAACTATGTATTAAAAATAACGGGTGTTTTGTGTTCTTTTTTTTGGGGGGGGGGGTCGAAGTAAAATAATAAAATTATATGGGTGGTAAAATAAAATTATAGGGGTGGGTGAATATTTTGGAAAACAAAAAAAAAGGAAGGGAGAGAACATGTGTACAAATGTAACTGGTTGGAGATAGGTACTGCTTGTTGATGTCCTGATGACGTCAGTTAGAAATCGCCCTCCAGTTTCCTGACTATTTACAGATCTGCCATTACCCTTTAACCTCGGTCACTTATTGTAAATTTTTTTTTTTTATAATACGTGATTTACCAAGGGTAGATTCGAATCTGGGTGGAGCACTCTTTGCGCCTACCCACTTACCAGTTGAGCCAACCACTCTTGGCTATTGTAAAACTTCATATCATTTTTGTTTATATTTTAGTGGAACATTATAATTTTTGACTTGTTTATATTTGATTTCTTTATATATACACACATATATATATATCTTATATTTTTATCTAGGTCTGAATTGTTGATATATACCGAATCTTGAATAATATTACAAGATATATCGTATAATAGAGATCTTATCAAATCCAAAAAATATATATTTATAAATATTTATTATCATATCTACTTTATTTATTTAATGTAAGACTTTCATCTATTTATATGTTATTTTGATTATCAATAAAATATATCATTTCACAAATTTCTACAAGAATATTATTTTTTTATATTTTATATTACCTCATGATTCTAATATTAATGGTAATACATGTATGTATATATGGTATTTGAATATCTTAAATATTTGTCAAAATGTTTTATTATTATTTTGTTCTTATAATCATTTGATTGTTGTAGTTTTTAAAAATTATGACAATAACTTTCAAAACTAATTAAATATTATTCTTTCAATCAGATCGATTTTGTATATCTCATTTGAAATATGTATTCAGTATATATATATTTGCTTTTCCATACAGTATCATAGTTTTTTGGGGAGGAATGATGAGGCGAGAGGGGGAAAAGCGACACGTGGAGGGGTAATAGAGTGCAAATAATGAAGAATGATGAGAGGCTATTTGAGCGACGCACATTTCCGGTTTCGATTAAAAATAAAACAATGTGTGTGTGTATATATATTTATTTATATATTTCATTCGGCATGCGTTTCTTTGTAATCTTTGATTATTAATATTTCTATTAAAATATGTTTTCATGACTCGAAACATGTTTAATTATTACAGCATGTCCAACTTAAATATTAATTTTTTAAAACAGTTAGGCTAATTTTACCAGAGCAAGGTAAAATTGTCAATTTAAGATTACAATTGCAATTACAACTAAAAATAATTGCTTTTTTATCCGGATATGTTTCAACATTTCTTCTAATTATTTGTAAGCTAAAAATGATGAATAATGCTATTAAATTGGATTTTTCTACGTTATATACCTTTTAATTCTTCTATTATATACAAAAAAAATTTATTATGTTCATCATTTCACCCTATGAATTAGATTAACGTCAAATTTTGTTCATTGTCCTTAATTAATCAATAAAAAAATTATATGAATATTGAATAGACAATATGCAAACTTAGTGGAGATTATTACATGCCTTTTTTTGCTAAATTATTATTATTTGTCTACTTGATTAAATTTTCTTCAAAAATCTAGTAGAATTAATATAATTTTTCTTCTACTTAGAACAAAATAAATTATACAACACCTTTCCTCTTTTCTTTCTAATCTGATATGTACCAAACAACTATTTTAATTATTACATTAATATTTCTCTCTGCAACATCTATTCATATTTTTATTCTTTTATTACATCTTTTTATTAATTGAAACTTCCAAGGAATTTATTTAATTTTAATTCTTTTTTTTTTCTGTTGCCCCTGGCCTTGTCAGATATTGTCACAAACTTTTCATAGAATCAGCATATAAGCATCCTCCCTCGCTGAGAAGATCCTTCATCCATGTGACCTCTCCTTATGGTAGCTTATTAATTTATC